ATTGAACTTCTTACACAAGGAGACTCCTATGTTCAGGAGTTACTCACACCAAGAGATACCTACACCAATGTGACACTTACACCAATAGATTCCTTCACCAATTGTTTATGTACACCAGGAGATTGCTACATCGATGAGTCACTTACACAAGGAGACTCCAACAACCAAGACTTCCTTTCACCCAAAGATTCTTACATCCGAGAGTTATTGACACCTACATATTCCTACACCATCGAGTCACTCGCACAAGGAGACTCCAACAACCACGACTTCCTTTCACCTAAAGATTCATACATTCAAGAGTTATTGACACCTACAGATTCCTACACCATTGAACCTCTTACACAAGGAGACTCAAACAACCACGACTTCCTTTCACCTAAAGATTTATACATTCAACAGTTATTGTCACCTACAGATTCCTACACCATTGAACCTCTTACACGAGGAGACTCGTATGTTCAAGAGTTACTCACACCAAGAGATTCCAGCTTTAATAAGTCACCCACGCCAGGAGACTCCTACATCCAGGTTTTATTGACACCAAGATATGCCTACACCAATGAGTCACTTACACAAGGAGACCCCAACAACCAAGACTTACTTTCACCTAGAGATTCTCACATCCAAGAGTTATTGGCATCTACAGATTCCTACTTCAATGAGCCAGTTACACCAGGAGACTCCTACACCAATAAGTCACCCATGTTAGGGGACTCCTACATCCGGGAGTTACTTACACCAAGAGATTCCCACACCAATGACTTACTGATTTCAACAGATGTCTACGATAATGAGCCAGTTACACCAGGAGACTCCTACATCCAAGAGTTACTTACACCTAAAGAATCTTACATCCGAGAGTTATTGACACCTACATATTCCTACACCATCGAGTCACTCGCACAAGGAGACTCCAACAACCACGACTTCCGTTCACCTAAAGATTCTTACATCCGAGAGTTATTGACACCTAGAGATTCCTACACCAATGAGTCACTCACACAAGGAGACTCCAACAACGACTTCCGTTCACCTAAAGATTCTTACATCCGAGAGTTATTGACACCTACAGATTCCTACACCATTGAACTTCTTACACAAGGAGACTCCTATGTTCAGGAGTTACTCACACCAAGAGATACCTACACCAATGTGACACTTACACCAATAGATTCCTTCACCAATCGTTTATGTACACCAGGAGATTGCTACATCGATGAGTCACTTACACAAGGAGACTCCAACAACCAAGACTTCCTTTCACCTAAAGATTCTTACATCCGAGAGTTATTGACACCTACATATTCCTACACCATCGAGTCACTCGCACAAGGAGACTCCAACAACCACGACTTCCGTTCACCTAAAGATTCTTACATCCGAGAGTTATTGACACCTAGAGATTCCTACACCAATGAGTCACTCACACAAGGAGACTCCAACAACCACGACTTCCGTTCACCTAAAGATTCTTACATCCGAGAGTTATTGACACCTACATATTCCTACACCATCGAGTCACTCGCACAAGGAGACTTCAACAACCACGACTTCCGTTTACCTAAAGATTCTTACATCCGAGAGTTATTGACACCTAGAGATTCCTACACCAATGAGTCACTCACACAAGGAGACTCCAACAACCACGACTTCCGTTCACCTAAAGATTCTTACACCCGAGAGTTATTGACACCTACAAATTCCTGCACCATTGAACTTCTTACACAAGGAGACTCCTATGTTCAGGAGTTACTCACACCAAGAGATACCTACACCAATGTGACACTTACACCAATAGATTCCTTCACCAATTGTTTATGTACACCAGGAGATTGCTACATCGATGAGTCACTTACACAAGGAGACTCCAACAACCAAGACTTCCTTTCACCCAAAGATTCTTACATCCGAGAGTTATTGACACCTACATATTCCTACACCATCGAGTCACTCGCACAAGGAGACTCCAACAACCACGACTTCCTTTCACCTAAAGATTCATACATTCAAGAGTTATTGACACCTACAGATTCCTACACCATTGAACCTCTTACACAAGGAGACTCAAACAACCACGACTTCCTTTCACCTAAAGATTTATACATTCAACAGTTATTGTCACCTACAGATTCCTACACCATTGAACCTCTTACACGAGGAGACTCGTATGTTCAAGAGTTACTCACACCAAGAGATTCCAGCTTTAATAAGTCACCCACGCCAGGAGACTCCTACATCCAGGTTTTATTGACACCAAGATATGCCTACACCAATGAGTCACTTACACAAGGAGACCCCAACAACCAAGACTTACTTTCACCTAGAGATTCTCACATCCAAGAGTTATTGGCATCTACAGATTCCTACTTCAATGAGCCAGTTACACCAGGAGACTCCTACACCAATAAGTCACCCATGTTAGGGGACTCCTACATCCGGGAGTTACTTACACCAAGAGATTCCCACACCAATGACTTACTGATTTCAACAGATGTCTACGATAATGAGCCAGTTACACCAGGAGACTCCTACATCCAAGAGTTACTTACACCAAGACATTCCTACACTAATAAGTCACTTACTGGTGTTGAATATGAATCACCTAGGATAGGGGACAATCAAATTTCACCTACATCTAGCTTGGACAGTGATGCTGTTCAACATGGACCCTCAGGTGGTAAGGTAAGCATGTTTCCTGATCGTTTCTGTCCAGTAACTTTTGTTAAATTCTTCTATTCTAACTGACATTGGAGAAATACAATCAATGTGCAGATATATATGTAAAGGTAAATCTAAATCATGACATATGCACCATGACACATGCACCACGACAATTGATCGTTGGTTAAGTTGAATATTCCAGTCAATGCCCTTGTAAGAAACACAAGGAATTAATGGAATAACACTAATGGAAGTCCTTCAATGTTGATACTCTATACGAACCAACAGCAATTAACCTAAACCATAACCCTGTAACTTTAAAGACATATGCATGTAGTAGTGGGCTCTCATGGGGAATTTGACACCATTAGATTGTTTACCCAATAACAGGTGTTGTCAATCACCAGGATTAGCCTTCAGTTCTATGGTAAAGACCTTATCTGACATTTGCATTATCCGAACACTCTCCGAGAGATGAGGGGGTATTTCTCGATTGACCTACGGGTTTGCTTTGTGCAGAAATAATAAAATAAAAACAATTGAAGGGAGAAAAAAAAATTGTTGTGGAGAAGAAAACAAATTGAACAAATAATATCAAGGGGAAAAAGAAATTAATGAAAAAAAATATTGAAAAAAAATAACCCTCGGTAATGGTGTAGTGTGTGTAATTGGTGACATACAGTCTTCAAGAGGGCGACAAGCATTGGTTAAAAATACATTTATTTCACCAGCTGGTTAGGGTAATATAACACTGAAAAGTGACCGGCCAGGAAAATATAACAATTTGGATCCTCACAATTGATATCACGTGACGAGCTCTGGACCAATCACAATCTCGGTATCTGTCTAAGCTATCTAATATTCATAATTAACCCATGCCCCGTGGCTGTAAACTATATTTTATAAAGATTGTTGGACTAATTAGAGTATCATTTAATTTGTAGGAGATGGCATTTACACCATCAAGATCAACATCATCATGCCACAAAATGGATAGCTTGAAAGGAACAGTTGATGTGATGTTATCACCGCAGCCGTACCTGACTGAGTTACTGCTTGCTAAAGCGGGGGATGTGGAGCTCAATCCGGGCCCTCTTCACGGGTAATACAATTTGAATTAAATTAATTAGCACATACACCATGTACACAGGTAAAGTGCACACCCACTCATACACACACCTACCGTGCACGTGCACAACCATATATACAGTGTATCTATTACGGTTTATATTTATCTATGTACAGTATGTTGTATCATATACTAACAACATATAGAGTTCACAAAATCATATACAAGTAGGATTCAAACACGAGGACCATGGTTTTAACTTCACAAGCGCTTTCGATTTATTCTCATATGAAGTGCGGATGACGAGAATAATTCGAAAGCACTTGTGAAATTAAAACAATGCTCTCGTGTAAATTCTTTATGACGTTGTTAACTCTTCTTTGTGTAAACACAGTTTAACACTCCCTCTTATCAGAACAATCTCCCTCTTAATATGTTTTATATAAACATATTTATTAATGCTAAATATATTACTCATTTCGGATATAGTATTGAAAATAATATCGCTAGTGATATTCGTTTGTCTCGCAATGTGGTCAATAAGGAATCTAAAAGTTCACGACGTTTCGTGTGCATCTGCAACACTTCATCTGGTGATAATAACTACTGTAAGCAAGGGTCTTTTATACTCTATGAAGTGTTGCAGATGTACACGAAACGTCGTGAACTTTTAGATTCCTTATTGACCACATTGCGAGACAAACGAATATCACTAGCGATATTATTTTCAACATATGTATTATATATATATATATATAAATATATGCGTGTGCATGTGTCCATGTGTATGTGTGCGTGTGTGTATTTGTGTGTGTGAGACCTAGTGTGTTCTTTGGCCCAGGTACCTTCAATTTACAAGCATTTGACTTCCAATAGGCCTCTGCATTTCCAAACATATTTTGTCTTGTCTCGTTTTGTTCAGGTGTCTTAAAAACAATCGAATTATTTGATTGCTTGTACATTACAGAATTTTTAAAAGTAATTGTTACTGCTTAACGATCCAAGTCATGTTGTACATTTATTTATTGTAAGTTTGTTCAAACCAATTATCAACCATGTCCTGCACATGTACACATGTAATGTTTTGTTACTTTATGTTTGGAAATGAAAAGAATTTGTTCCCCCTTTACATGAGCAAAAAAAATGAAAGTATTTATTTTCCTGAATGCATTGATTTGAATCTACTTTTCTCTTCTTGTTTTCTTTCAGATCGATAGATAGTGTACTGCAGGAAAGTGAACTCATATTGCTTGCTGAAGAAGTTCCAGTCCACTGCTACAATAAACTGTGCACTGGTCTTGGTTTTAGCTTAACACAGAGCCAAACTGTACTGACCCAACATCATTTGAACATCCCAGGAGCTTTGATCAACTTCTTCTGCAGATGGAAAGTCAAGCAGAGAGATGGAACCAATTGTCGAGCACTTCTTGGAGAAATTCTTAAAAACGCCGGTATGGGTGCACTTCAGACAAAATTATTGGAAGGTAATTACTTTGCCATTGTATTTTTAAAGTCTTTTTTGTTACATAAATGTCTCCATTTCATGCATGATCACAAAGGTACATGATAACGGTAAACATTGGGATACACATACAACCGACAGTGAGAAATAGATACAAAAGCGTGAATGATGGTATTTACAATAAAAACACAATTTATCACATAAAACTTTAAACCAGAGAAGTATGATCAGCCAAGAAAATTAGGTTAGGCATGCAAATCATATCTACTTAAAACTACTTTACTTTATGTGTGATGTTACAAGCTGAAAGAAAACAGAAAGTTTGGCAGTATATTCCTGGTTTTCTTTTTCTTTTCATAATTTTAAGACTTATGCTCGACCCCCTCTGCCAGAGAAAATTACAGTTTTTAATATGGTATGTAGATATTCAATACAACATTAATTATTAAACAAAACATTACCAGTTCTTTTATCTATGACATCTTATTTCCGTTCTTCAGGTGAATATCTTACATCTGGAACCTCACCTTCTGGTAAGTATACATTACACATTTTACACAAAAGAGCATTCGTTCATTAGGAGACTATCATGTCTTATCAATACAAATTTCAACAATTGAAATAATTGCAGCTATATTGAATTTTCAAAGTAGTTCCAGAACAAGGTAGGTTTGGTTTAGATAAATATGATATACTTTAATGTGCAAATTAATTAAGATAATCTGTTCTCCTATTCTCTTTTCATATTAAGAATGAAATAAGGTTAGGGTGTGCTTTCTATTTAAAGCAAGATATTTGGACATATTACTGGACAAATGTTAAATGTAATTGATTGTGTTGTGTATCCGTTACTATTCAGAGCATTGATCAAAGTTATGTAAATCATGTATTCATAATATATCTACAACGTACCGTAGAAGACTTATAGTAATTACATGTTCAAACCCATATCATTTTATTTGTGACATCTGTTGAAATAGATATTACATTGAATTTACATAAATTCCTTTAAATCTCCGTACAGATCCAATACTGGATACTTCCCAACCATTCATGACTGAGGCACAGGTTCTCCAGTGTGGGGAAGATTTGAAGACATTCTATCGCGAACAGATGTGCAAAATCAAACCTGACCCGCTTGATTTCAATATCATCCTAGAATTCGAGCACATTTTCACGAACTTAACACTGCTCAGGAAAGAAATGAGCACCAAAACGCCATTCGATTACACTGATCTTCTTACTACAAAGATTAACGGGGTACTTCCTAAACGCCTTCTCGTTGAAGGTGAAAGTGGTGTTGGTAAAACGACTTTCTGTTCAAAGATCGCATGGGATTGGGTTAATGGATCTCCAGAGTTTCAGCGCTTCAGTTGGGTTTTGGTAATACCCCTGCGCAATGTTGTCAAGAGTCAGACAATTGGTGATATTATGAAAAATTATCTCTCTGACAATAATTATGTTAACCCTAAACAGATCGATAATTACATTTTGTCTCAACCTACAAAGGTTCTGATTGTACTTGATGGACTCGATGAGTATGATGGGGACCTCTCTACCAGAGAAAGCTCAGATATTTCTCAGATTCTACGATTGGAGAAATTCAAGCAATGTATTGTTCTGGTGACAACAAGACCGTGGAGGGCGGATACGATCACATCCAACGAAGGATTGAGAAGGTCGTATGCTTTCATTGGACTAGAAGGATTTAGTACTGAAAATGTCTCAACATACATAAGCAAGTACTTTTTGAATGATGAAAATGCAGGATTAGAACTAATTCGGTCTATTGATGTGAATGATGTAATCAAGAAGAACATGGCACCCTTCCCAATTTACGTAGCAATGCTATGCATCCTATGGGAAAATTGTAACAGTGAGAAACGAGAAACAATACGCAGACTGAAGACATTTTCTCGATTATTTGAACAAATGATCATGTTTCTAGGAGACCATTATTTGTCAAAGGCTGCCAAGGTCTTACATGAAGCCCATCTGGACAAGGAAATGAAAAATATCAAGCTTTGTTTCCAAAGAATAGGATCGATTGCCTTCTCAGGACTCCTGAAAAAGAAATTGGTTTTTAATGAGGAGGACTTCAGCTCGTGTAAGATAGCCATGGAGATATGTTGCAGAATCGGAGTTCTCAGTAGGGAAAATCAAAATGTATCCAGATGGAAAAGAACTTCGACTGCTTCACAGCCTATAACCGTTAGTGTCTTCTTTCCTCACAAATTATTTCAAGAATATATTGTGTCTGTTTATCTTGCCTCTCTATATGACACAAATCGCGAAGAGTACAGTAGGTCGATGGGCAAAGTACTGAGCGAGAACCCAGAAGAATTCCGTTACCTCTTGTATTTCACCGCTGCCCTTGGAAAGGAGGTGGGACTTGATATTGTCCAGAAAATACAACAAAATCACTTTCCAAATGGACAACACGGAAGAAGAAACAATGACTTTCTGGCAGATGTTACTTTTGAAGCGTACAACAAAGACACGGCAAAAGCAGTCGGACAACATATATTTGCAGACATGAGAGAATTTACTATCGATGAAGACATGCCTGCTCACACAATTGCTGGTTATTTATTCATCATGGAACAGCATGGAATGGTTTGTTTTAGTTTTAGTTCGTACAATGAAAGTCAACAATGACTATCCGCAGTAAGAAACGCGTGTAAATTTCCCGACAAATGAATACATTTTTACATGCCAATTTTGATAAAATACATTTATCTCATTTTGAGGATTGATACAAGGGATGAGGAATATAAAACCTACTTACCGCCACCGGAAGATGGGGTGATCCTTAACTTAGGTCTTCTAGCAAAAATGCTAGACTGGGCCATATTACGGGTTCGCTGAAACGCCATCTTCTGCGGCTTGAAGGAAATGTAGGTAATATAGACTTATATATATTATAACAAACCTGGCCAGATTCTAGGCTAGATCACCTGGCGCAATAGTTATAACCATGTCCCTAAAAGCAATCAATAGTTGTATATTATTGAATGTAGGACAATAAACTATGAAAGTATATGTATCAAGAACAGTGTGTAGCCGACATACCTCCATTATCATCCAATGTTGGAATAATGTCTTTCATACATGTATGCCAAAGGAAAACGAAGATAGAATGACATCCAAATTGTAGATTGAATGAAATGTGGGTTCATGAATCTATTTTGGTTGATGGGTATATGCAATAACCAATAAATGCATGCAGGCTCATGAATAGTATACATATCGACATAATCATATATAACATTACATGAACAACTAGGTAAACACTATTGTGGTAGTTCTTCATCAGTTATTGAGTGTTGTAAGGGAACCGTTCCATTCATAATTTAAGACACTGTACCCCTTCCCACACTTTGTGTTGGTCAGGGATAACACAAGTATATGCATCCTGGCACACAACTATTTTTGTATTTTGTAACAAGAAAAAATTTCTGACATTTTAATTAATGGTTTTATGTATACACACACGTTGTAAGATTTACCCAGGCCTGTATAACACGTCAGGATCATTTAAGCAGTAAGAGTTGAATAGTAATTATAACATATTTATGTCTTTCAGGAGACTTTGGTGTTCAGAGACAGATCATGTGGCCCGACTCTATCGCATGACGTAGCAGATGTCCTATTCACATCAAACTCATTATCAAGATTAGTGTTTTATCGTACCACATTGGATCATGACTTCTATCAGTTAATGCAAGTTTCTACAACGGCGGTAAATATATAATTATTGAAACATAAAATATGATAATTACAATTCGTCTTTATCACACAAATTTTAGACATGGTACAGTTTGAATAATACTTCAATTTTGTGATCAGAAACGTTACTTTGGGACGTGGCGTGGTGGAACCATTTCAATTTGTGTTTGTTTGTTGTTGTTTTTTTGGAGGGGGGGGGGGCAAATAGCTAGCATGGAATTTTTTTATCGCTCCGAAATATAGCTACGCACACTACCTGCATATACCCAAGCAAGCATGTTTACCCCTTTTCCTCTTTTAACAAGATATTTATACCATGCCGCTACACCTGATCAGCATTTGGTGCAGAGAGCTCCTCAGATAATCTACATTTATATTTATTTATTGTTACCGCCGCTTGTTAAGATTTACATAGGTGGATTGATCCAGACCCCAGGATTCTTCTGGACAAATCAACTTTTTCAGAATGATGTCTAGATTTCAATATATTTGATATGAAATAAATTGTATAAACTACATGTCAGCTAATCATGTACACATATTGGTCTTTGTACATGTTCAACCTGCTATGAAGAATAAATAAATAAAGAAAGAAAAATCTTGACGAAATCAATAGGTGATACGTATACTTCGTACGTATCACCTAATAATATAAAATAAGATTTGTATGGCACCGATCCCCTTGAAATCAAATTTTAAAGGTGCACTTGTAAAAAAAATAATCTTTGAATCATCTGCATTATAAACAAAAAACATAAGTTAGATAGATCATACGAAAAAACAACTATTCCTATACTGTGTTTACCCTAATAAGGCTGGGGGGGGGGGCCATTATGGTCCGGGAACGCGTATGGGTGGCGCCCCACCGCTCGCTGACTTTTTTCTTTCGAGTCTTGCGCATCTTTCAAATTTTGTTTTTGAAAATCGGATGTACAGTTACAAGGTCACGTGACCTTTTTGTCTTTGCATGTCAGCCCGAAAATCGCTCATTTTTGCGATTTGTGTACAAAACATATGGAAATGTCATTTTTCCTAAAAAATGGTTATTGGGTCTTGTTTAAAGAAATGAAATAAAACAACACAAACAATAACAAATACATAGGTTAAAGAAACAATAAAATACATAATAAATTATCAAAACAAGAGATAACATAAGGAATAAGCTGGCTCTTCCACATTTGTTTGTCGTATTTTTATTCCAAATGGTCTAATGAATATATCTAGTGAAAAAGAATGCTTAAATATGAATAATATATGATTTATTGGTAAAAATGTGATTTTATGACCTTATTTGCATAAATTACCATGTATATGCAAATAATTGAATTTTTCAAAAAATTGAAATTATCACATTATTCTATACACTTCACTTGACATGCGTGCACATTTTCGCGGAGATCGGCCGCTTCACGGTCGAGATCTTAAGGGGGGCCATAATTCCCCCCCCCCCCCGGCCATACTAAGACCTCAAATAGCCCGGTCTTTTTAGGGAGGAGAAGTCCATCCTGATCTAAATTGGTTTTAATAGAAGCAGCTAAATGAGAGAAACGGGTCAGTGAAAAAGTTTGGGCAAATTTCAATGAACAGTAAGAAATGTATGAATTAATAACAGGTGCGATCAATCGAACACAAATTGGCAACACTGTAACGTTTCTTGCAAGCTCCTCTCCAATTTGCTCTGTACATACATGTAACATTTCTTAAACTTTCAATTCTTTGTTATGACAAAATAGTGAATTTTTTCTGTTCAGAGGTTGCATTAATTACATGTAGGGTGCATAAATGATTGAACATTTTCTTGAGGGAAATAACTATTTGTTTAAAGTACAGAACAAATGGGAAGGGAGCTCGCAAAACACTTCACATAGTTGCAAATTCGTGTTTGATTGATCGCAACTTCATGTCTATTTATAATCGGAATTTCCTTAAATTTCAATGACCTGTTTTTCTCATTTTTCTGCTGATATTAAAACCAACTTAATATCAGGATACACTCCCCCTTTACAAATAGTGACCTTAAAATGTCTGTTCCCATTTATACTTATTTGGTGTTTTTTAATAAAGAAGTTTGGAAAGGTTTATAACCATAAAACGGTGAATACTAACGTTAAAACAGGAAAGGCGTTTATGAGTATGTTATCTTCAAGCAATTATGCCAAAAACACGGCATTGCAAAACATGATTAATCAATCTGCCATTCTTGTTCATAAAAGATTTTATCCCCTCGTCGACGAAGTCGGAGGGGATCCGTCCGTCCGTCCGTCCGTCCTTCCACCGTCATTCTGTTAGTAACAAATCTGGTTTCCGATCGATAACTTTTGTTATGTTTGACGGATTTTAATGAAAATTGATATGAAGATACATGGTATAAAAACACTGCCTAAGTTCGATTATGGAGTATGTAGGTCAAAGGTCATAGCTCATTAAATATG